CTGCACAATCTTGTTTAGAAACGAAGCTATTACATTTTTGGACAAGAGTTTTGGCCAGCCGTTAGTCATGGAAACGCCAAATTTCACTTTAATTTCGGAAAATCAAAAGCCGAAGTTTGAAATCGAACTAAGGACTTTAAAAATGAAAGATATTCCAGTACAGTCATTCAACCCAATTGAATCTGAAGAAATCGATTATATCACACCCAGTGCTTGGACTATTATCTTGTACATGTTATTCACGTCTCTGGGCATTCTACTTATTTATCGAAAGTTCAAGAAGAATAAGAATGCACATACACATCCTGCTCCAATTCCAAGGAAGTCACATACAAATGATCCAGAAGAAATCGAGCTACCTTCCAGGAAACTGAATCTTCCAGGAGAAGCTTCATTCTAGGGGTGGAGGAGTTATAGGGCTACCCTGTAGAAGCTAGAAAATAGAAAATGCAAGTCAGCACATCATCGCAGCGCCTAGCAACCGTTGAAATGCAACATGATATGTTTCCTGTATTACTCATTCTAACGAACATTGTACTTCTATAATTAAAATTTAGTCTTAATCTAACTTTCGTACCATCCACTACTGTATTTTCGGAAATAAATATTTTTAAAAAGGCACTTACGTTATCCCGAAATATTAGTTATATTGAATCTTCGAAGCTCCAGACCCTGATGGTGCATTCTTTGTTTTTATTTCACGAACAAATGTGTCGCGAAGGCCTTTCCACTTTTTTTGAAGAGTATTATCTGAAATTAACAATTTCACAATAATTTTCAATTTTGTTTCAGGTACTTAGCAACTGGCTGTTATTTTGCTTACTTATAGATTAGGAAAATCAACTGTAATTGACATCGTTCAAAAAACTGTGTATGTTATTTGGAATAAGTTAAAAGATATAGTAATGAAAGAACCTTCGACAGAAGAGTGGATGGAAATTGCAAGAGGATTCGAAAAATATACACATTTTCCTAATTGCATTGGAGCAGTTGATGGGAAACATATTAGAGTTATAAAACCTTTAGATTCCGGCTCTATGTTCTACAATTATAAACATTTTTTTTCGACAGTGCTGCTTGCCGTATGTGATGCAAATTATTGTTTTATCTCTATAGATGTTGGAGCATGTGGGAAGAGCAATGATTCAACGATTTTTAAAAACTCCACATTCTTCAAAAAACTCACGGAAAAATCTTTGAACATTCCGGGACCAAAACCAGTCCCAGAAATTCGTACAACACGTTTACCTCATGTTATAGTTGAAGATGAGGCATTTAGCTTATCAGGACATATTATGCGACCATATTGCGGCAAGAATTTAACCAAAGAAAAACGAATATTTAATTACCGCCTCTCTAGAGCAAGACGTTATATTGAGTGTTGTTTTGGAATCCTGGTAAACAAATGGAGAATATTTCACAAACCACTCAATGTACATATTGAATTTGCGGAAAACATAATTAAAGCTTGTTGTGTTCTTCACAATTACGTCAGGTTAAGAGATGGATACAGATACGAAGACACATTGTTCGAAACAGCTCTAGATAGTCTGAGTACGACTACAATTCGACCTGGTGTAAGGTCTCGAAACACGAGGGATATATTCGCTGATTATTTCATGAAGGAAGGTCGACTGCCGTGGCAAGAAAAAATGATCTAATTTTCTTTGTTTATTACTAATCAATAAATTAATAATAATTACGTACCTAAATCTTTCTTTTTTTCCTCGGAGTCATCTTTATCAGAAAATACTGACACCAGTTCTTCCCAAGACCTACGTTTTAAAATCCTGTTGGCATAATCAGGTGATTCCAAATCCCATATCGCCGGTCTTTTTTCTATTTCATCTATAAACAATTCCGTGTCAAAATTTTGGCGCTCCTTTTCCCTCGATACGTGCACTCGCTCTAGAGTTCGTGCGTTAACTGGACGCAACAAGGCCTTCCCTAGTACAGGGTGCGCCAGAGAAACTTACTTATTTGAAAGGTCAATAAAAACAAAATTACTTCAATTATTGTTTTATTTTTTTTTTATTCGAGAATACAATATCCCAATTTTTTTTTCATGTAGTCTTGAAAATGACATCGGATAAATGGCGACCTCCATTGCGCATACACTGATGAAGTCGATTTTTGAAATTCGTATCCACTCTTTGCAGCATATCAATCGGTATGTTGGCAATGGCGTCGCGAATGTTGTTCTTGAGGTGTGCTATGGTCCGTGGTCGATCGACATAAACCAGAGATTTCAAATAACCCCATAAAAAGAAATCGCAGGGAGTCAAATCTGGAGATCGTGCCGGCCATTGGAGATCGCCTCTGAGAGAGATGAGGCGGTCGGGGAAATGTTGTCGCAACAAATTCATCGAGTCTCGTGCGGTGTGTGCTGTGGCTCCATCTTGCTGAAACCACACGTTCCTAACGTTCATTTCTTCGAGTCTCGGAAGAAAAAATTCCTCGATCATGTTCCTGTAACGAGCTCCATTCACGGTAACTGCGCGTCCGTTTTCTTCAAAAAAATAAGGACCAATTATTCCCATTACCGACATCGCACACCAGACTGTAACTCGCTCACAGTTAAGTGGCTTCTGGTGAAGCTCACGTGGATTCACACCAGACCAATAACGCATGTTTTGCTTGTTGACGCAGCCGGAAATGTGGAAGTGAGCCTCGTCACTGAAAAAAACGACCGCGTCTTCAGGCAGGTTGTCAACCAGCATTTCACATGCATTTTGACGGGCAACAAAATCGCTTTCAGTTAATTCTTGAACAACAGCCAATTTATAGGGATGAAAATGGAGGTCTTCATGGAGAATTCGTCGAACAGTAGTGTCAGAAATTCCCATAGCAGCTGCGTGTTTGCGAGCCGAACGCCGGGGAGAACGCACAACTGACTGCCTCACTCTTTCGACATTTTCCGGAGTTCTGATGGTCCGTTGAAGTCCATTTCTGGGTTTAGCGACACTTCCACACTCCCGAAATGAGTCAACCCACGACAGAATCGAATTACGGCCAGGAACGAGTCTGTGAGGAGGAATTTCAAAGCGAGCGCGGAAGGCACGTTGCGTAGCAACAACTGAGCGACCGTTAGAAAAGAAGCTCTCGACTGCGAAGGCCCGCTGTTCTCTAGACCAGAGCATGATGGCAACTGACTGGAGCGAGAAATAAACTTGGGAACTTCCCCCTCCAGATGCGCCGCCTCTCGCCCCTCTACCCGCCCAGCTCACCGCGCGGGAATTTTTTCAAATAAGTAAGTTTCTCTGGCGCACCCGGTATCTCGACTCGAGAGTCTGGCGTAGTGCACGCGATTTATGCGCGTATTTTGAATTCGCGCGATGCTTGTGGACGCGACGTATTGATGTCAAGTATCTCACTAACGCGCGAATGATTGAGGTTTAGCTTACCCTATTCTGAAAACCGTGAAGTTTGATATTGGGCACACTATATGGGATATGAAGAAAGCTATGGCACCTCATTACAACAATCATATGCGTATATTATCGTCAACCAGTAGCGTAGAAGCTTACCATTTATTAAACCTAGTCTATGCACGCCACTGGTTTTCGTGGTATTTATGTTGCTACAAATCCCTTACGTTGCAATAGAACAAGGTCCAGCATTACGCCACCATAGGAGTGTGCTGAACCTGCATAGATTAGTTTCAACAATATACATGTTATTTTATTATACAGTTCAAGAAATGGTATCTTTGCATTGTAACTTAGAAATCAAAAAAAATTCAAAATTCAAAATTTCAGTGGCGCAGTCATAGCGGATCGATACTACCATCCCTACAAGGCCATCCATCGAGGATACCCGTGGGCACAGGTTGAAGAGGAGATCGCTAGGGACAAAGTACATACAGGATACGGCCTTTCCAGAGCGAAGGAGTCCACTGACTGCGCCAGTCATATTTGATTTAGAATGACGTCACTTTGCGTATTACATTCCTCAAGCCCTTTCACTTGATACACATATCATAGGGGTGAGTGTAAAGAATTGAATCACCCTTTTGCGCTGGTCGTCATATTTGATATAGAATGACGTTACTTTGCTTATTGTGTTTCTATCCTCAATCCCTTTTATCTGATACCCATATCATGAAAACTACTATGAAAATTCTAAACCACTGTTTTTATGGCTGCCGTCATATTGGGCATAGACGGACGTCACTTTGCTTATTGTGTTTCTCTCATCAAGCTCTTTTATCTAATACCCATATTGTGTGTCTATAAAAAATTCAAATCGCCATTTTTTCAAGCCCTTTTATCTGATGCCCATATCATGAAAAATGTAACTCGCTATTTTGCGGCAGCTGCCATATTGGATATAGAATGACGTTAGCTTGCTTATTGTGTTTCCTTTATCAAGCCCTTTTATCTGATGCCCATATCATTAAAACTACTATGAAAAATGCAAATCGCTATTTTGCGGCGGCTGCCATATTGGATTTAGAATTATGTCACTTTGCTTATTGTTTCACCACCATATTGCGGCGACCGCCAGCTGGGGTTCAACATGGCGACATTTATTGTGTATTGTCATGCAAACCAAACGTGTATATAAAATTTCAGCCCGATTCGTTGAGGTTAACTGGTATAAAATCCAGTTACAAAACATACTGACACGGCATGTCAATGAAAATTTAATGAACCATAAATATCATGGATATGTTCATACAATATAAAATTTATACGAAAATATATTTTATAGATGTTAGTTTCAAACACCGATTTCTGACAATGGTCGAAAAAAAACGACCAGAACGTGTTCTGGTCACCAGCATATTGCCAATGTCCGAAAAATCGCTTTCTGGCCGTTTAGGTATAGATCAAAATGAGTTCTGGCTATCGTTATATTGCCGGAACGCGTCGAGCATACAAACAAAACTTCCAAAGGCCAATTTAATAGAAACAAATATGTTTGATTGCTTACATAACAAGTTTCAAAATAAAAAATAAATAAATAACTTCAGTTTTAACAAAAACAGAAAACATTTACTATATAATAACTTGTGCTTTAGGGGTATCGGCATACCTACATCTGCTAATTTTACACGAACTATGGTTGTGACATTTACTGTTACATACTACTGTCTTGGCTCTACATGCGCATTTTTTGTCGATGCAATATCGTTTGCAATTACACTGTATAAAGCCCTGTTTCGATCCAGATGCTAAACGAGAAGTAGTTCGGAGGAACACAGACGTTGACGGAACTGACGAAATATCAATAAAGTCGGAGTCGGCTAATGTAAATTCATTACGGCAATAAAGTGACTGCAAAGTTCCATCTTTCGTTCCTGAAAATGTATTAAACAGTATGTTAAATAGTTGATCTGCATCTCTTACCTACCAAGCTGGTAAAGTCCAGAGTCATTAATATTGAGAACAACAGCTAGCTCATTTCTCAGTGCCAGTCTACCTCTGTCAACATCAGGTACTCGTAAAATGACAGTTAATAATGCTTTGATCACCTTGTCTATCTCCTTCGTCAGCTTTCCCGCAGATAACATGAATAGGTAAGTAACAGCTAAACATTTATGAGTATCTGAAATTTTTTTTTCGTATATTGTACAGACATTTTTTTCTTGTTGTTCAACTTCGATGTTCCTTCTGTTTATCAAACTCTCTTTCTCAACTAGTGGCAAATATCCACCTTCACATTCGTCTGAATTCTTCTGATCGCACAACTTTTGTATTTCTTCTTCTGTTTCAGTATTGCTCAAGAGTTCCTTAGGAATCTTGGAGATCAATCGTTTGAGGCGTACCAAACATAGCTTCATAAGGACTTTTAGTTATTCCTGTATGCAGAGAACGATTTTTATTGCTTTGCATAAAACGCAGCCATTCAGACCATTTTGTTGTATTTTGGTCAGCCAACCATGTAACCAGCATGTCTGTTACATCTTGGTTCGATTTTCTACGGACCCTTGACTTTGCGAATGGCGAGGTTTTCCATGGACCATTTTTAATCCTGGTCACATTTCAGCAAGATTTTTTACAAAGCGGTTGGCAAACTCTCTGCCATTTCACTTTGCAAAATCATAGGTACGCCGAACAAACAAAAAATATCTAATAATGATAGGCAACTTCTTCAGCTGTCTTTGTTTTTAATGCTCGTAGCACGGTAAATTTGTTAAATGATTCTGATAATTGAGGATGAAACGAAAATCTTGATCTGGTTCACTCTGCATGTCAATTAAATCTAGTTGAAAGCGCGAATTCATTTCATTTGTTAAAATTGGCCTCACCACTTAACCTTTTTGTTGCACTTTCTTCTTTAATTGACACTGCTTGCAAAGTAATAAGTAAATCTCAAATATTTGCCGTGTTATGTTACAATATTTCCTCTGTAGTTCAGAATCCATAACTGAAATAAATAAAATATAATTGAACCTTATTTTCGCAGAAAAAAAAATAAAACATTTTTTTAAGTAAACGCTTTTATTCAACGCACAGTTGGAATAAGAAACGAACGCAAAAGTAA